TTTAAATAATCAACTTTATTTCTTTTCCAGAGAAAAAATAATAGGAACTCGTTTTTTAAATATTAAACAAACAAAAAAAATGATGGTCCAATCAAACCGCGTTAGAGGAAGAGTTAATGGTTCGTTTTCCTCCATCAGCTGTGACGCTCTTCCTAAAAAGTCTCTGTTACCTGAGAAAAGGTCAAAGTCTGCTCTGACGGAATTACTGCTGGTTAAGTTTGCTCAGCTCCCCGGAGCTCCGCTGGAGCTTCTGGTACTCCTGGTGCAGACTGAGGAGGTGCGGGGAGGCCGCCGGGTGGAAGAGCGCGGGGGAGACGTAGCTGGAGGTCAGAGGAGGGGAGTAAGCGGCGCACTGAGCCGGAGAAAAGGCGTCGAGGCCCGGCTGCGCCTGCAGGAAGGCCTTGGCTGTGAGCGCGCCGCGGGAGAAGAAGGTGGAGAGGGCCGGGAGGATGCTGCTGACAGGTGGGATGGTGGCGGGGCCGCACGCCGGTGGGGAGTGCTGATGATGGAGGAAGGGGTAAATCTCCAGACCAGGCAGCTGCAGAGCAGCCGCGCCGAGCCCGTACGCGCCGTGCGTAAAGCCGTGCAGCGCGCTGGGCTCCAGGTGCTGCTCCTTCAGCGGGTCGAAGCGAAAATGCTGCCGCTTGAAGCGCTTCCTCCGCCGCAGGAAGCTCCCGTTCTCAAACATGTCGGAGGAGTTGGGATCCAGCGTCCAGTAGTTCCCCTTCCCGGGGTTTCCGGGCTCGCGGGGCATCTTCACAAAGCAGTCATTAAGCGACAGGTTGTGTCGGATGGAGTTCTGCCAGGCGGGGAACTTCTCCCGGTAGTAGGCGAACCGGTGGCTGATGAAGTCGCAGATCTCGCTGAGGGTGAGGCGCTTCTTGGGGCTCTGCAGGATGGCCATGGTTATCAGAGCGATGTAGGAGTAGGGGGGCTTCACCGACGCGGGGCTCTTAGTTTTAGCGGGAGGGGGTGCGTCCTGGTCCTCGGTCTGGCTGCTGGAGGAGTCCGCGCTGCGCTCACGCCGATCCTCTGCGCTGTCTCCGAGTCCGTCTCCCACCACGTCAATAACAGCATCCTCCATGATGAGACCCCCCAGCCCCAATGTCATAGTAGAGGTGAGGCGGGTGAGGAGGGTGAGCCACCTGGCAACAGGTGGGTGAGGGGCAGCTCCTCTCCGAAGGCTCTCAGCGCAACTCACGCGCGCTCCATTCCCCCTCACGAGAAGGCACGAATCCCAGCGCACACGCACACTCTGCGGACCGCAAAGGCAGCTCCGACGGTGGCTCCGGGCGCAAAAGAGCGCAAAAGCGTTAGCGCGTGAAAAGTTCGTGAGCGTCCTCGGAGATGTCCAGCGCGCTCTGCGATCATTCTGTTGCTTTGCTGCGGGGTCGGGTGGAAGTGACGTCACAAGGGGAAGGATCCTGACCAATGAAAGGAAAGAGGAGCAGATGGAGAGAAAGGGAGTCTGTGCACCTTCATTATCATCATCATCATCATCATCATCAGAGATCTAGAGGAAGTCAGAGGAAGAAGCAGTTTCCTTCTGATGTCACGTGAATGACGTCATTTTTGCAGAAGACAACAGCAACATTTGAACATAGAAACATGCTTCCTAAATCTGTTGTATCTAAAATCTAAATTAAGAGAACTGTTAAAGATGCTGCAAGTGGATCGTCACCATGGTAACCAGACACCAGCGAGAGGCAAATAAAAACACAAAATGAGAAACTTGTCAGATTTATTTTTCTAAAAGAAAACAGAATCAGTCAAATCCAAAAGTTTTATATAATGTCAGGTCAGTGAAGTCAGACCCAAGAGGGGAAATCCCCGGCACGCGCTCCTCTAACGTGACGCTTCACGCGCACACTTGACTCACAATTACACATTTTCAGTCAGAGGATGAAACGGGAAGGACTGGTGTGATGCCTGCAGGAGAAAAATCAACAACAAATAAGCGAATAATAATAATAATAATAATTATTATTATTATTATAATAATTATTATTATTATTATTATTATTATTATCATCATTATAACGGACTCCGCAGGAAAATGAACCAAACAAAAGTAAATCAGGGAACAAGAACATGTGCTGACATTTGATATGTTGTAAACTTCTTTGTTCTCAGATTATCATCCTAAACTCAGAGCAGGATGGTGATTTTACAGATTTTCACGCGCTGAGACATAAAAGACTTTCTGGATGTTTGTGTTTAATGATGGAGCTCCTTTGTTGGGGATTCCCACATTTCCTGCCTCGATCGTATTGATAGCTCCGGGCCAGACGCGTGCGCGCGCATGCGTGTGCGTGTGTGTGTGTGTGTGTGTGTGTGTGTGTGTGTGTGTGTGTGTGTGTGTGTGTGTGTGTGTATGTGGCTGAGTCCGGACTGGGTGGGCTACCAGCAAAAGCTGCAGATGATTTCCCAAATTCATCGCGCATGTCTTCAGATTGGAAGCAGGCCCGGCGCGTTGAGTGGGTCGCAATAATAAAAATCTGTAATAATAATAATAATAATAATAATAATAATAATAATAATGAATTCAGGGACATATTAAGAAAACTGTCCCATGCGGTCTCTGTTTTTTATGGTTTCTTGTGAACTATTAAAACAAATTAAATAATCATTTTACTTATTCTGTTTTCTTTCTTATCCCATTAAAATCATTAGAAATGGAAGTGCTCAAACCAAATCGGACCAACTTTACGCGCACACGTCGGCGTGTCTGCTCCTGGCGGGTTCTGGTGAGGAGAGCATCATCCCTGGAGCAGCAGCAGAGCGCGTGGAGGAGGTGCGTGATAAACGGGATCAGGTGAGCCGTTTGGCCACTGCAGTCAAATATCCTCTAATCTCAGTGAAAACTTAAACATTTTCTCATGATCTGAACCTGATAATTAAAAAATAAAGAGAGTGGAGGATCCCCCCCCCCCCCCCCCCCCCCCATGAATCTTTGACACAAGATGAACCTTTAATCTAACACGTCATTAAGATGAAGAAGCATGACATGAACACACACACACACACACACACACACACACACACACACACACACACACAGCGTTTAGCGGAGGTGCTCATTATCACAATATTTACGACCTGACAAACAGCTTTACGACACTCAACCTGCTCTTTAAGTGTCATCATCTCGTGTAATTTCATCCCGAACAGCTTTTCCTGCCTCATGATGATGTTTATGTTTGGATCGATTTGCAATAAAAAGCATTTAGAGACGTCCCACGGCGACGCTCTGACGGACTCGCGCCCTCTAGCGGCGAAATCAAGAATCTCACCAGAGTATTACTTCGTGGTGAATCGTTTTTACTTCTTTTAAGTAGTTCCACTTTGCTGTTCGTAGCAACGTCACCGTGGTTCCTTTTATGGAGAAAAAAAAGCTTCAGAAATTCAGGCTATTATTTCTTTTTAAATTTTTGCAACAAGTGATTTGAAAATACATAAATAAAATGTTGACTACACATGTCACAACTCAATTAGCCACTCATTATGCAGGTCTTCAGCAACAAAAGTGGATTTTGCTGTTACTCGCTCTTTGAGTTTGTCTTCAATGTGTTAATTCACACCACGGCTGCTTTGTTGTTTGTTTTCTACCAACAAACCAAAAAGCGTATATTTTAAATTTAAATTTATTGAACCATCAGCTCCTATAAATCTGAGACCATGGTCTTGAGTCAGAAAAGGGTGGAACGCCTTCTCCGGGTCAGGGATGAGGTCCTGCCCCAAGTGAAGGAGTTTAAGTATCTCGGGGAATTGTTCACGAGTGAGGGAAAGCTGGAGTGTGAGATGGACAGGAGGATTGGTTCTGCTTCTGCAGTGATGCGGGCGCTGTACCGGTCGGTCGTGGTGAAGAGAGAGCTGAGTCAGAAGGCGAAGCTCTCGATTTACCGGTGGATCTACGTTCCTACCCTCACCTATGGTCACGAGCTTTGGGTAATGACCGAAACAATCGGCTGAAATTAGTTTTCTCAGCAGAGAGGCTGGGCTCTCCGTTAGAGATAGGGTGAGGAGCTCGGTCATCCGGGAGGGGTTCGGAGTAGACCCGCTGCTCCTCCACATCGAGAGGAGCCAGTTGAGGTGGCTCGGGCATCTGGTCAGGACGCCTCCCTGGTGAGGTTTTCCGGGCACGTCCAACTGGGAGGAGGCCTAAAAGGAGACCCAGGACACGGTGGAGGGACTATGTCTCTCACCTGGCCAGGGAACGCCTTAGGATTCCCCCGAAGGAGTTGACCCAAGTGGCTGGGGAGAGGGAAATCTGGGCCTCTCGGCTTAGGCTACTGCCCCCGCGACCCGATCCCAGAGAAGAGGCTGAAATGGATGGATGAATCATTGAACCGTTCAGTTAAAAATATTTAATGCTTCATAAAGAGTTAAACTTTTTCTGGGGTAGTTTGATCATTCAGCTGCAGCTCTCTGCAAACACCAGTCCAGCTTCGGCACTGTGTTGATTTTCTAAGTCTTGTTTTTCAGAATTCTGCTTTCAGCTTTGTCTCCAGATAGATAAAACAGTTAAAAATGCGTGTGAATGTGTTTGTGAATGATTGTGTTGTAAAGCGCCTTGGGGGGTTCCAGGCCGTTTTCCATTTAGGCTCTTTGGCATTCCCGTATAAAACGAGGGAACTAGAATTTGCTGGACATTCATTTATGAAAAAGCTACATGTGAGCACCATGTGAATAAAAGTGTCTGAAAATCAGAGAATTAAAAAGTTAGATTAGTTTATAAGAGTTTAACCTTTATGTTTGACAACAGGGGTCAGGATCATTCGCCAAAATGTTTTACTCATTCTTCTGGCATTTTATTCTTCAGGATAAAAATATAAAACTCAGATGGTCTAAATGCAATTATAGACTTTGAATTATGCAACAAATGCTTAAATAATGTTTATTACTGTCATTCCATTTACAAGTGAAACAGTAAAAACTAGAATCTGGTGCATCTATGTCAGTAATCTAGCTCAGACTGAGAGACCATCTAAAGGCTCAGGAACCCTCTGCAGGTGTTCTAGATTCATCAGCTGATCAGAGTGCGACACCTTGAGTCTAGAAAATTGAACCTTTTCACAATATTCTGATTGTCCGAGGGTTTGAATGTGGCTGTCAGCCATAATCATCACAGTCACAACAAATAAAGGCTGGAATATCTGGATTAGCCTGGAATGAGTCTGTCTCATAGATTAGTTTCACCCTTAAAGTTGAATTATGCCATAATCAAAATGTTCTAGTTTCATCTACATGTGACTACTTTTAAGACTGGTCTTTGACATCATGTGCCAAAAAGCAGCTCTACTCTCACCCCCTCCCAGAGATGGGAGCTTCTCAGCTTATAGCAGTGGGGGCGTGGCCAATTCCAGCTTGTTTTAGATAGAGTCTTGAAACGGCTCATTCTGGAAGGTCCTGAAGCCGTCAAGGAAAGAACAGCTGAAATCTCTTTATGTGATTTAGAGCCAAGAACTTCATGAGCATACTTTTATTGACCACAGAACTATAACAGATGCAACATTTAAAACACATCCTTTAAAATGTTCACTCTCCATTTAGTTTTGAAACATGGCAAAAGACACAAACCACTTTATCGTTAAAATCCCATAAAAGGCAACAAGAACAGTTTTAATCTGGGATGACCAGAGATTAGCTCCAGGTAAAAACACGGTTATGTCCCCTCTGGCTATCTAGGAGTGGTGAGGGGAGAACATCCAGTTAAAGACTGGGGTGGTGGCGGCTCAGGGGGTAGGAGTTTGTGCTGTTAACGGGTTGGTTGCTGGTTTGAACCCAGGCTCTATGTGTGTCAGTCGTTGTGTCCTTGGGCCTGACACTTCACCCTCCTCTTCTGCTGGTGGTGGTCGGAGGGACCGGTGGTGCCTGTGCATGGCGGCCTCACCTCCGTCGGCCGTGGCTCATCACCACCAGAGTGACTGATTCAGAGTAAAACAGTGTGGAGTTTCCTGACTCAGAAAGATGTTTTACAAGTGCATCATCTGTTTCTGTTCATTCATCCAACTTACTCCCTTCAGACCCTAGAGGGCGCTCTAACACCAGTGGTGACTTTCTGCTTTCCACAGTAACCTCCCTTGTGATGGCCCAAACGTTACTGTCTGACTCTCCCGGTGCAGAGATGAGTTAAATAATAGAAACATTGTTTAATGTGAAGAGATGTTGGCAAAAAAGCAGCGAGGAATAAGAGCCTGTGCAGTAAATAAAAAGTCTAATTAAAAACAAAAACAAAATGGGTGGTGAGCACCCAGAGCAGCCTGGTCAGATAAGATGAAGTGTGCAGCTAAGCAGGCCTTTATAATGACTACGTGTCTCTGGTTGTGCAGCACCAGGCTAAAGGTCAAAGGTGACAGATCATTTGCTGCTGTGGCCTCCAGACTCTGGACCTCTCTCCCCCTGAGCCTGAGATCAGTGGACTCAGTGGTCTCCTTTAAGAAGCAGCTGAAGACTCACTTGTTCAAGCTGGCTTTTGTATGACCTTCTTCACCTCTCTCTCTTTATTCTGCTCTCCCCACCTATTCCACCTTCCTCAGGATCCACTGATTTCCCTCTTTCCTGTTCACTCTCTCTCTTTCTTAACAATTTTTAATCACAATTGTCTATTTTTTGCTCATTTTAATATATTTTTAACTATTTTCTAAATTATTTTTTATATTTTTACATTTTTTGTTTGTGTGAAGTGCCTCATGATTTTTATCTTGAGAGGTGCTATAGAAATTATATTTTCTTCTTCTTCTCTGGTGTAAAAACAACAACAAATGTAAAACTGTATAAATGAGAAATAAACAAATCAAATGTAGCAATAAAACTGTGAAAAAATCATTTTTAAACAAGTTATTTCAGACAGCAACTAAAATCTGGTAAGAAATCTAGGATCTAACTAACTAACTAACTAACTATCTAACTAACTAACTAACTAACTAACTAACCGACTGACCACCAACCCACTAACTAACTAACTGACTGACTGACCAACCAACCCACTAACTAACCAACTAACTAACTAACTGACCGACCGACGACCGACTACTAGTCTCCTACTCATAGTAAACCTAGAATCTAACCCTCATCCTTCACCCCGCCCTTACCTTAAGAATGGTGGGTTTAAATCATTAGTCTTTAGCTGTATGCTACTAGTCTCCTACTCATTGTAAACCTAGAATCTAACCCTCATCCTTCACCCCGCCCTTACCTTAAGGATGGTGGGTTTAAATCATTGGTCTTTAGCTGTATGCTACTAGTCTCCTACTCATAGTAAACCTAGAATCTAACCTTCACTCTTCATCCCGCCCTTACCTTAAGGTTGGTGGGTTTAAATCATTAGTTTTTAACTGTATGATACTAGTCTCCTACTCATTGTAAACCTAGAATCTAACCCTCACCCTTCACCCCACCCTTACCTTAAGGATGGTGGGTTTAAATCATTAGTCTTTAGCTGTATGCTACTAGTCTCCTACTCATTGTAAACCTAGAATCTAACCCTCACCCTTCACCCCGCCCTTACCTTAAGGATTTTTCTGTATTCTCTATTCTGTTCTTATCTCTTGGCCTTTCCCCTTCCCTCTCTACTACACTTTGGACTAGAACTTGGGAGGACCATGGTCAGCCGATGCTGGCTCGGATGTGGGCGACATTACACCATGACACCATATCGGGTACCTGTTCCGTACCGGTTTTTGTTCCAACCTAGTTTTTTTCTTTATTCTTCTTTATTTATTCTAATTTTTGCTACTTCTTAGTGTTCCTTTATTGGATCCTTTTATTTTTTCCCTACTCTACTGTTTTACTCTTTATTGATACGAACCAACGATTGGGGAGGGGTTCCAGAGTGACATGCGACGGCCCGTGCATTGCCAGTGACTCCCTATTCAAACTGTTTTGGTTAATTTACCAATTCAGGGGGAACTCACTGAGATTTATCTACTCCATCTACTTCTCCCTCTAACTAACTAACTAACTAACTTACTAACTAACCAACAGACCGACCCACTAACTAACTAACTAACTAACTAACTAACTAACTAACTAACTAACTGACAGACCAACCCACTAACTAACTAACTAACTAACTAACTAACTAACTAACTAACTAACTAACTAACTAACTAACTAACTAACTAACTAACTAACTAACTGACAGACCGACCCACTAACTAACTAACTGACAGACCGACCGACCCACGAACTAACTAACTAACTAACTAACTAACTAACTAACTAACTAACTAACTAACTAACTAACTAACTAACTGACAGACCAACCCACTAACTAACTAACTAACTAACTAACTAACTAACTAACTAACTGACAGACCGACCCACTAACTAACTAACTAACTAACTAACTAACTAACTAACTAACTTACTAACTAACCAACAGACCGACCCACTAACTAACTAACTAACTAACTAACTAACTAACTAACTAACTAACTAACTAACTAACTGACAGACCAACCCACTAACTAACTAACTAACTAACTAACTAACTAACTAACTAACTAACTGACAGACCGACCCACTAACTAACTAACTGACAGACCGACCGACCCACGAACTAACTAACTAACTAACTAACTAACTAACTAACTAACTAAGTAACTGACAGACCGACCCACTAACTAACTAACTGACAGACCGACCGACCCACGAACTAACTAACTAACTAACTAACTAACTAACTAACTAACTAACTAACTAACTAACTAACTAACTAACTAACTAACTGACAGACCAACCCACTAACTAACTAACTAACTAACTAACTAACTAACTAACTAACTAACTAACTAACTAACTAACTAACTAACTAACTAACTAACTAACTAACTAACGTCATAGGTGTGTGTGATGATGTGACTCCAGGCACGTGGATGGGTGGAGACAACAGCCATGTTGGGCTTTAAAGCGTGACAGACAGCCAGCAAGGTAACGGGGTAACAAGGGGGGGCTGTAGTTCTGCCTGCAGAGTCCACCGTAGGAGATGCACAGATTGAGTGGCCCACATTAAAGCCCTGGTGGAGCTGCTGAACATCCTGCTTTACCCCTCATGGCGGGCGACCATACTGTAAAAGTAGCTTCAGCTGCGTGTTGCAGCTTGTCTCAACGAGAAGCAAGCAGCGCACGACAGAGAGATGCGGGAAAGTCTGGTTTACAGGACGGCTCCAGAGAAGAGGGGATGTTTTTATCTGCAGAAAAAACAAAAACATGAGATGACTGGATTAGATTAGACAGGATTATGGGTCAGTCTAGCTTCTGGTGTTCCACACAGTAAAAACAACGTTTGCATATTCTGGCTTTTTCTTATGTTTAACATTTGTCGGAGCTGCTGCTGGGACATTAAAGTATGGTAATAAATTATTATCTGACACCTGAAGCAAGTGGCAGAGTCACATGGTCCGACCCTGCTGCAGGAGGGTCCCAGTACAACAACTGGTCCCAGTACAGCCCCTGGGTCAGACCCGGGGGGACTTGAGTGTGCAACATTAGAGCGGGGTCACCATAATCCATCAACATCCCTCTGACAACAACAAACAGGAAGACTGTTTAATTCAATTATTCGTTCCCAGCAAACGGATTCAGTTTGTTAATGAAAGCATGTTTAATCTGGGAAAAGACGGGAGCAGATGGGGCCCGTGATGCACGGGTGTCTGTGTGAATGAAAGAATGAAAAACACATAAAACAGAAGCTTTGTGGAACCGAGATAAGATTAGAGGGAGCGATGTAGGTGTGGACCGCCACGGCAACCATGCCCAAAGCGTACAGGCATCTGGTACGGAGCGTCGCTCACTGCAAACGTGGATTGTGGTCAAAAGAATCCGTTTTCTGATCTTTTTTTAACGGGAGGGGGTACAAATGGGTGGCATGTGTTCGCGAGCAAAGATGAGAAGGATCAACCAGATGAAGGAAGAGAGCAGGCTGTGAGATGGTGTGTGGTTGCATCAACGTTCTTGGCTCCCACCCTCTCCCCGTCTGTGAAGCCAGCGTTAAAACAGGAAAAAGGACTCAGAGGGGTCTTCATGTGGTCGGTTCTTGCTGAAGGAAACTCTTCAGAAAACATCCCGACCAGTCCCACATTCCTGGAGGGTTTCCCACCCACCAGGTCCAACGCTGACGGGTGCATTCCTCTCACCAGTAATCCCACCTGGTGTCTCTATTTCTGGTCGGCCCTGACCTCTGACATCCCTGGACAGCAGGAGCACACAGGTGCAGGGAGGACCGATCAAAAGTCCAAACAGTTTTCATTTGTCTCATCCGGGTTCAACTTGAGCCTGCTCCGGTCGTTTTCCTCCTGTTTACGTTGAAGCAAGGCCGTTTGCTCTGGAAGCAGGAGGACGAGTTGCAGCTGGGCTCAGATGGGTTGTATCACATCCAAGGGGAAGAACGTGCACGTTGCATGCACGGTGTGAGATGTTCTTCAGATAAGGCGGCTGGCATAAGCGGGCTCTGTTGCTGGGTCTGATAAAGTCCTGCTGAAAGAGAAACACTAGGAAATGCATGTTGTTGCTAGGCAACAGTTTCTGTGCCTTTGCCTGAGTGTGCTTGTGCAAGTCTGATGCTAGCATTAGCAAAACATCTCACGATATACTGGAACGAAAACATGAAAAATATTCTTCTACACCAAATTAAAACGCCAAGTCAACCTAGTTCAAGATGGCTGCCACAGCTGACTGGCATCAGTAAACACAGAACAGTCAGATTTACAGCTCACTTTGGGTGTGATGGTAGCTGAGAGCATTAGCATCATTTCACTGATCACAGTGTAATGGTCAGCGATGACACAACTCTTTGTTTAAGCTTCAAAAATACCCCGCGGTGCCGTTTGTCACGTCAGAATTCAACAATATTTTTGGTTATTTAATCTGGAAAAATCACATTTTTACCATGCCATTCACACATTTATTAATGTTAAAGTCTCCAACTAAATATGTAGTTAGCAAGCTAGATATTTATTTTGGAGCTGAATATTTATTTTCCTAAATAAATACTTACTTTTGAAACTAACTATTTTAGGTCAGATTTATTTTCCAAACTAAATATTTCATTTACATACCAAACCTTTTGCTCGGATTGTAATATTTAGTTTGGAGCAAAATGTTTAATTTATAAACAAAATATTTATTTTAAGTCAGACATAAATGTTTATTTACCAAACTAAACATTTATTTAGCAAAATAAATGTTTAGTTTGTGAGCTAAATATTAGCCTCACACTAAATATTTAGGCAAGACCTACATTTCCCAAACAAAAAAATTATTTTGCAAAATAAAATGTTTAGTATATGAACTAAATATTTAGCTCCTAATAAAATATTTATTTTCAATAATAATTTTTTTGGTCAGATTTAAATTGTTTTTCCAAAGTAAATATTTGTTTTTCAAACTAAATGTTTAGCTCGGACATAAATAAGTAGTTTGAAAAATAAATATTTAGGTAATACATAAATGTTTAGTTTTACAACTAAATATTTATTTTGTAAAACAGTTATTTAACTCCAAACTAAATATTTTCTTCACTAACTAAATATTTAGTTGGCATAATTAACATGTATTAATAGAGTGGTGAAAACATGACTTTGAACAACAAACTCCCATTTATCTTAACCCTTTCGTGTCCAAGCATCTCCTGAATGGAGACAAGCAAGTGCAGCAGCAAAGGCCTAGAGCCCTTTAACCCAACATTTTGTTGTTTAATTCTGAAGGACTTTTCAAAAGGCACCCCATAAAAGTTTTACCTCACTTGTCCTCAATCGTGTTTTCTGTTAAATCTGTTTTCAGCGTTGTGTAAAGTCCTCGAGCTGCTAAAGCGTCCTGCTGACAGCAGCTTCCTGTTCTGCTTCCTGAAGATGATGGGAGGTCCAGGTCACCTGCACACTCAGCCCTGACCTATGTGTGTGTGTGTGTGTGTGTATGCGTGTGTGCGCATGCTCAGATAAACACATAAACATGCATGTTTTAACCCAAACCCTTCATGAGAATCGCGTAAGTGTGTTTAGAACATGAAACAGGAGTTTCAGCAGCTTTGACTGAAAGCCGTAGGCGTTTCCATCCGTCGCTGGCGTACAGTAGTCATAATAAGTAACCGTGACAACAGGGAGGCGGGTTCCGACAAGCCTTGCCTGTAGCTGTAATGACTTAATGCTGTTTACACGATCGTTTACGACCACGCGTGAGAGCTCATTGATGTCATAGATAGAACAATTTTCATTTTCTGAGTGTGGGAAAAAAAGAGGAGCAGGGTTACGATGGACATGTTTGCTTTCGTCAGGCTTTAGCGTTGTTCTAACGGATCTGATAAAGAAAACAGGAAGGGAAGTCCAGAACGTTTGGGTCAGTAAAATGGTCTCAAAGTTCTGCTTCTGTACGGAAAACTGGTTGTGCTGAGAACTGAGTGAAAATTTGGTCAGATTAAATATGAGGTACTGGATTATGGCCACGCAGATTTGGAATTAGATTGAGGAATAACTCGAGCAATTAAACAAAGTGAATATTCGGTAAGTTGTGTTTACTGCACGGTAACGTAGACTGGTTCGTAAAGTATCACCCATCCTTGAAGACGTTTCTGTTTTCGTCCCAAACAAACTCTCGTCTTCTGGTTTATTGTTCACGTTTTCGTTTTCCCCCTCAGATCCCCAGACCTTCTCTTTCAGCCCGGCTCCGTCAGCCTTAACTCCACCCACCTGAACCACCCTTGACCATCTCACTGATTCACCTGTTCCTGTACGTCCGATACGTGTAAATGTATAGACTGGCCTTGACCCAGTTGTCTTTCAAACTGTCTCTGCATGCAATTGGACAGCGCTGGGACCAATCATACACAGTCGAAGAAGAAGAAGAAGGAAGAAGGAAGAAGAAGAAGGAAGAAGGAAGAAGGAAGAAGAAGAAGAAGAAGAAGAAGAATCCAAACTGGATGCCAAAGCTATTTCAAACTAGCTCAAGTCCTGAGCTGACGCCATCTTTGTAGTTTTTCTCTATTGCAGATCTAGTACTAAAGCCACCAAACAGCTTTCTACAAACATGGAGCGCTGTGATTGGCTCAACCTAGAGCTGTCCAGGCCAATGGTAGACCTGCTGAGGCTATAATGGAGCGCAGACCGACCTGCAGACCTTCTGCCTCGGCTACAGTTTACCTCTCTAGGCTAGCTCTGCGCAGCACTTCTTCAGCTCTCCTCAGTCTCTGCCCCACAGCCAGTTGGTTCCAGGATGGATTTAATCTTATTCAGATTTATGGGCCTGCCGCAGAAAGGGCAAAAAGAGCAGCTGATAATGTTTTTGCCTGTGTTTAAGGTTGCCTTCACTGCTAATCCTTAGCCTCCTGTTGTGCTTTTAGTTCACCGACTTCTTTAACATCTTTTATTAAGACTTTTCCCATTTCATCTTTTAATTCCCTGAACTGGCAGCCTTGTCTTTGGGCTAAATTTGAACGCTACATGCGTCTTTTAGCTGACACAGCACGCGTTCCGGCTCAGTGAAAACATGGCTGGACGGACAATCTCATCCGTAAACGTGAATTCCCGCTGACATGCCGAGGCCTCTCTCGGCTCTGATCTTCTCATGTTCACACACGGCTGCAGGAAACCAGAGGAGTCCGTTCAGCTGTGACCTCTAACGTGTTAGAAAGTGTGAACGTGTCAACAGCAGGGCCTAATGCTGATGAAGACGTGAGCCTCTGTGAGTCAGGAGAAATGCCGAGCTCTCCTTAAGCGCTAACAGATACAGGTGGTTTAAAAGCCGAGCTTCCGCCCTCGCTCTAAATCCCGGATCACACCGTAACCAAATCCCTCACACGTTGCACCGGCTGAACAGGATCTACGTCTTTGCTTTTGAATTCTTTCTTTTGTGGAGCTCAAGCTTTGTAAAAGATTTTTGATTGTTTTCATCTTTCGAAGCACCTGACTTTATGAAAGGGTTCATGCACGACGGAGGTGAAACAGACCAAGTCTCCCCGTCGGTGAAACATTTCCTCCGACCACAATTGAAGGGCACGTAAGAGATGTTTGAATCTCAGGGATCTGTTTCGGGTCAAGGCTCCATCTCACCTCACTTTCCATGATGAAATGGAACAAATGCAGCCAGTGAGGTTTTCAAGAACGTGTGTTTTTGTTCAGGCACACATGTTAGACATCAAGCTAGGCCAGATCAGCAGGCAGGGCAGTGAAAGTGGCAGCTCCGGCAGATCTGCTCGTAGATGATTGAAAACAGAAACAGAGACATAGAAATGACCTGAGATCAGTTTTCACCACAGACCTAAACAAGCATAGACACGCTTCCGGTTCCGTTAGGACTCGGAGTTTACGGGTTATGAGTTGGAAGAATTAGACCCCCCCCCCGACGCGGATAAGTGTTTAACGTGAGACAAGTTAGCTTGTCATGTTAACAATTAGCCAAAATGTCTTAGCCTGGTTACTGTGAACAACTATTAGATAATAATAGTGAAAAATCACTTAAGCCGGGCGTACACTGTGCGGCTTTTTCACTTTTTTGAGCAGATTTTCCACTCGTGCGAGAATCCACAAGGTCGGGGCGAGTTTTGCGCTGAGCGTCGTGTAGTGCACAGGGGGTTACGAGAGGCGATTCACACCACGTGACCAGCTACTGATCAGCAGTCGTGAGCTCACACGGACTTCTGGCTTGTTTGATAGTTTGCTCGTCCCTCGTGAGGGTATTGCACTGTTGAAGCGGCGCTGCGAGCAGCTGCGACCCAAAAAGTACCAGAACCGCTCACGGCGCATGCGCAATCATGCATCAACACTGCTCGCCCGCTATTTCCCTAATAACACACGCTGTTCGTTTTTATTTCTACACGTTTTTTTACTCACAAAGATTGTCAAGAAAGCGTGTTTGGTGTCGTCGTCGTCTTCCTCCGCTTATCCGGGTCCGGGTCGCGGGGGCAGCATCCCAACTAGGGAGCTCCAGACCGTCCTCTCCCCGGCCTTCTCCACCAGCTCCTCCGGCAGGACCCCAAGGCGTTCCCGGACCAGATTGGGGATGTAACCTCTCCAACGTGTCCTGGGTCGACCCGGGGGCCTTCTGCCGGCAGGACATGCCCGAAACACCTCCCCAGGGAGGCGTCCAGGAGGCATCCTGAACAGATGTCCAAACCACCTCAACTGACTCCTTTCGATCCGGAGGAGCAGCGGTTCTACTCCGAGTCCCTCCCGAATGTCCGAGCTCCTCACCCTATCTCTAAGGCTGAGCCCGGCCACCCTATGGAGGAAACTCATTTCGGCCGCTTGTATCCGCGATCTCGTTCTTTCGGTCATTACCCAAAGCTCATGACCATAGGTGAGGATTGGGACGTAGATCGACCAGTAAATCAAGAGCCTGGCTTTCTGGCTCAGCTCCCTCTTCACCACGACAGATCAGCTCAGCGTCCGCATCACTGCAGACGCAGAACCGATCCGCCTGTCAATCTCCCGATCCCTCCTACCCTACGTGTTTGTCGTGTTCATGTCAAATTAAACTGATCACAAAACACAGATTTACTTTATTTTGTTTTCCTCATCCAACCCCCATAAATCCCCATGTGTCCTCCTGCAGCACTCCCGAAGGACAACAGGCAAGACAAAAAAGTCTGACGTGTTGTGTAAAAACTGCTATTTTTAGCATATTTTCTAGGGCCGACGTGTTGCTACCAGACGTACAGTGTGAGCACATGGCTCGTGAGATCTGCCCTGAGAGGAAGTCGTACAGTTTGAGCTGAAGCTGAGTGCTACGGGTGAAAAAGTCGCACAGTGTCCGCCCAGCTTTAGGCTAAACATGAAAATAGTCTTCTACGCCTATTTCCTGCATTAGCTGCTGATACAAAATAGACGGTGAGAAGCTCAGATTAGCAAAGCCAGTCAGATCTATGTCATGCTATGAGTTAGCATTCATGGACTCACCCATCTTGACTCTCGGCGGCGTAAGGCTGTTGTTGGTTTACCGTCCAGGAAACAGTAGAGCACGTTAGCATTAGTTGCATTAGCATACCATACCATACCAATTTTTTTATAAATCACAGTTTCAAAATAGCATGGCAGCTAACCAAAGTGCTGTACATAAAAGAGCCAAATGCTTGAACAATTCAACGAAACACAACGCAAGCATGAAAATCAGGCGAAATCAAGTCCCCACAATGCAGCTCAAAAATTGAGGCCAACCTGGAAGTACCATAAATTGCAGTTCCACCCTCATCCACTAGGGGCTGGTGTCAGAAGCGAGCAAATCCTCATTGACTCCCATGTTAAAAATACCAATTTCACAGCAGAAATAAACATGTTTACAGCCTGGTACCAAAACATGTTTTTGGTTTAAATGATCTAGTTTACACTCATGACAACTCTGAGGGGGGGGGGGTGAATTTTTTTTCTCACTCTTCTGTTTAAGTGTATTAAAAGCCTAAAATTCTGTATAATTAATGAGCATCAGACCCACGTGACCACAGAGCTAGCTCCGTGGAAAGGCCTCAGTAGAGCCTCGGTCTGGCTTGGAAACTGCTCCGGGATTTTGAGTCTCTGTGTTTGTGTATTCTGTTTTGGACATTTTTTGTGCAATTGTTGGACAAAATGACTTGCTGTGGCATTAATTGCACTAATAGAGCATCCAAGGAGTCTCCGCTTCATTTTTTTCGGTATAAGTAAAATTATATTTATGTATTTTAGGTCTCTGCCGAGCTGAGCTTAGATTTTAACATGTACTGTTTAACCATGAAATTTAAATGTAATAGGGTAAAACCCAGTGCATTTAACATAATGCTGCACTTTAGCACATGGGTTGAAATATAACATGTTGGTGGAGCTGGGTTCCGACTATCGGTATGGTCCCCTCCCCTCAGCGGCAGCTCGGCGCTTGTCTGCTGTGCGGCTGCCGGCTTGTGGCGCTCTCGGGAGACCTCTGTGTTCCACCCGGTTTTACCCAGCGGTCAGCCTGGCGTATCTCTGACTCAGAAGCTCTGGTGTTGTGCACAGTTAACTCCGGTTTTAGCTAGGTTGCTACCTCTGTTAGCTTATCTCCCACCTCCGCGTTAGCTTTGGGTTAGCTTCAGGTTAGCTTGTAGCTAGTTCGACCGGGTGTCGTCAGTTGATCCCAGCCTTACAGCCCCACCCTCAGCTCCTCCTCTCTTCCCTTTTGTGGAATTGTCTGGGCTTGACGGAACCTGTGACACGGTCAAAATGGCGGTGGTGGCCACCTCCCATTTGTCCTCAAAAACGTGTTATTGGAGTCTGTGGAAACCCATTGTCGATGGGTGAAATACGTAAAACATGGCATAAATAATCAAGGATAAAAATTCCTGCTAAAAACAACAATAAGAGAACAGTTGAACGTCCTGAAACCGGAGCGCCCCCAAGGCCAATCAGAGATGATTATCTTTTGATGTCAGGTTTTTGGCCCAATGCAGTACGCTTGGATCCACAGTGAAGTAAGTTCACTAGGGGAAAGCCTTGGAACCACATGGAGGCGTGCCACGGTGACCAAGAGCTGCCACACTGGTGAAAAGGGCCGTTAGTAAAAGTTGTTAGTCTAGCTAATCTCACGGGCTTCTCAAATAAAACAAGTTCACAAACGTTTTCTGTACATCTGTAGAGGTCTCTAGAATAAATAAATGCCTTGTGAGTCGATCTTTGACGGAAAGAAGCTCTGGCGCTCCTGTTTCAGGAAGTAAGAGTCAGTAGCAGGAAAAGGGATCAGAAAAGATATGGAGGCTACTCATTATTAGTTCCTTTATATTCTGACATCTCTCCTCTGATTGGCTAACAGCCACGACATGGGTGAATGTTAGTGACAGTGTGACGTAGATCTGTCAGGATTTTCTAATCCTAGAGTTTCACCGTCTGTTTTCTATCACAAGCTAATGCAGGAGATAGGTGTAGGAGACTATTTTCCTGTTCCGCCTGCATGAAACACTCAGAGTGACCGATCATGCTTAAAAAATAACGAGTAAAAAAAACGTTTCTCGTTGAGTTTGACCGTTGAGTTAGTTAAGTGAGATGTTCTCACGCAGAAAAATAATAAATGCAGCAATATTTTATTTTTCAGCTTTGAACTAAACTTTGAACTAATTGGAATTACGCCCTGAACTCAGTACACAGTTTAAAAAGCGTGTTTTCTTCTTGACGGGCCTTGAGACGACTTGAGTCGTGAGTAAATAAACCGAACTGAATTGAACTTCCTGTTCGGTTTTCTGTAACGGTGCAAAACCAAGATTTCGGTGCCACAGTTAACCCTTTAGCTGACCCTTTGGTGTGTTCACGCCGTTCTCTGTGTGCTAGCAGACTCCCGGCCTCTGAACGCGTCACACCTCCAGGTTTCACTACGGCGCTCTGCTGTTGGGTCCACATGGCAGCTGTGATTAGAGGGTGGTGGCACAGCGTTCCCCTCAGGCTTGTTCACCCTGTTATTTCTCCCCCTCACAGTCAGACTGCTATCCACGGGGAGGGTGGGTCCATGACCTCCCTCCCACGCACAACCACGGGTGAGGGAGGCGCCCACTTCACACAACACCCTCCCTCTTGAGTCCCTATAGAAAATAGCTGAGTGCTTAGACCCCCTGTGGAGCGTCCGTGTCACGGACAGACTGGGATTTCTAGTCAAGTACAGATTACAGAGTCCATGGGAGTTCTCGCTCTTAACTGTTTTATATTTGGAGTCACAGAAGATGAGGAAATCTGATAAGTCTGGGGCCACCAGAGCGATCCAGAACTGAGCAACGTGCCCCAGAAGTTGATGTTTTTATCCCCCCACCCCTCCTCCTCTGGATCAGATCCTGCTGTCACCCCCTCCCTGTTTCCCACCCTCTGTGTTCAGAGGCCTGAAAACAATTCTGAGCAAAACAAAGTGGCCTGGGTTGGTCTGGTCAGGGCGCTCTGAAGCCGTCTGCAGGACGGCGAACAGAAACAAGAATCATCAGAATGTCCACAGAGGGTTCTACTGGCTTGTTGGTGCTTCCAACACGACATCCTTCAGCAGAAATATTCAAAATCTCCCCGGTTTTAACCACTTAAGGCCAAATGCATCATCTTTGCTCCACGTTTTTCTAAATTTCTCAGACCCCATCTCTTTAACAGGATATTCTTCAAACCTCTGCTTACTTGAGGTCTTCTCTCGTGTTTCTCTGATGCTTGAAGCCTTTCTTACTCATTTGTATTACTGAGATGATTAAACAGTGTTGAGGGCATGCGTGTGTTTAGTTAGGCATGGCCTTTGCTATCATGGGAACCATCCAACACTTCAAACTTCCCACCGCGGCTGCAGGGTTTCCTTTTAGCTCAGAGCCGGTGTTTCAGCCCCTGCAGGCAGAGGAGATTACCATCGCACATGGAGGGGGTTTCACCTGCAGGCCAGCTAGCATCACCACAGGACCACAACTCTCAGCAGAAGCTGTCTGGATATGAAAAAGGCTGTGGAGTAAAACTGCATTAAAAAGGGCAATGACAGTGTTTGGTGGAGCTCGTGGGTTTGTGCGTCATCGATCCTGCTCTGTTGTTCTAGTTCAGATAGAGCAGCAGGACAGAAGCAAACATATTAGCTGTGCTTTACCTCAGGAGGGGGAACTAGAGTCAGAGCAGCAAAGTCATGCAAGCATAGAAATGGATACGTACCTCAGGATTTCACAGGTCACTGTTGGTAAACCTCTACCTGCTGATCAAAGGGGCTTCATGAATTATGAACCAATACATGAACATCCCATTCTCATGTATATATATATATATACATACTGTATATATATATATATACATACTGTATATATATATATATATATATATATATATATATATATATATATATATATATGTGTGTGTGTGTGTGTGTGTCAACACATCTATTTAAATGCAGACATGCATATGTGTTTGTATGTATATATATATACATATATATGTACACACACACACACACACACATATATATATATATATATATAAATATACATACTGTATATATATATATATATATATATATATATATATATATATATATATATATATATATGTGTGTGTGTGTGTCAACACATCTATTTAAATGCAGACATGCATATGTGTTTGTATGTATATATATATATACATATATATGTACACACACACACACACACACACACATATATATATATATATAGGCATATATATATATATATATATATATATATATATATATATATATATGTATGTATGTATATATGTATACACACACACACACACACACACACACACACATATATATATATATGTGTATGTACACACACACATATATATAGAGATATGTAAATATATTATATGTTTTGTAACATCCCCCCCCCCCCCCCCCCACACACACACACACACACACACCGGAACTGCATGCCTGGATCTGAGCTAAAGCGAAACACTTAAAGGACAAAAGGCACACTGCAACATTTTCCTTCAGTCAGCTGATTCTAAACATTTTAACTTCCACATTAAAATTAAAGCTTTTTATTTACTCTATTTATTTTATTTCATTTTTTATTTTTATTTAGAATTTTTATGAATTCAGAGCCTTGACAATAATCTGTCAAATCTGATCAGAGAGTTTCTCTTCAAACTTACAGACTTGTTGGTTTTACCATCTGTAACACCTCATGGACTGGATCTAGGAAAAGCTCGTTTCTGTGATCTACTTCCCGTTGCTGCTGCAGAAACTCATTCATCGTCCTTTGTAGGATTGCGGGGAGCTGATGTCTAACTCCAGCAGTCGTCAAGTGAGAGGCGGGGGACGCCCTGGACAGGTCCATCACAGGGACAGTCACTCACTCACCCCTATAGGGACAATTTAGTGTTTTAATTAACCTAGCATGCACATTTTTGGCTCGGTGGGAGGAAACCGGAGTATCCGGAGAAAACCCGTGCGTGCATGAGAAGAATATGTTAACTCTATGAAGACAGGCTGCAGCCGGGATTCAAACCTGCAACCTCTGTGCTGCAACAGCACTACCAACTGTTCCACCATGCAGCCCTTGATCTTGTTCCAACGCCGATTAGATCAGACACAAACAAGATGCAAAAATGATAACATCGTAAAACATTGAAACCATAAAGTTGAGATTCTAACTGCGATCGTGCCTTTGAGCCACACTGGTTTTATTTGGAATAACTAGAAGTTAATCTGAGGCATTTGTGCTCCAGAGTAGTGAAACAGAAACACCAAATAAAGCCTTTAAAAACCCTCCGTCCTCTGGAGCGTGTGGGAAAGTTGCTAAACAAACTTAAGAAGGAAGTGAGGACGGCGCTTGCTAATGTAGAAAAATGTTATTTAGCTTCTAGGAGCTGTTTTGGGTCAATCTTCACCCTGAGAAAGTCTCGCCGAGGCCTACTTTTAACTATCCAGAAATTCACACACTAACTGTCAGCAGAAATATAAAAGAGAAAGACAAGAGCAAAAGGAAAATGTTGTAAGACTGAAGCTGAAGAAGAGAGAAAAACATTGGGCAATGATCTTGCCACCTTCAGATGCAAACCACACGGTGCAGCGACGTGCCGTCTGTTCTCCGGCTGAGAGAGTTGTGGCCGAAAGTCTGAATCAGAAACGTAAATGTGGGTCA